CATCATCCAGCTCACCCTCCTCTTCTCCGTCTTCCTCCTCCCCGTCGCATCCCTCACCTCTCACCCTCGCCCCTGCAGCGCCCCATCATCTCATCATCCTCTGCCTCTTCATCATCATCCTTCCTCATCATCTTCGTAATCACCCTATCATTCCCCCTCTTCGTTTTCATAATCAGTTCCGCTCATCCGCCTCTTCTTCCTCATCCCTCATCCTCGCCCTCATCCTCATCCTCCTCGTCGCTCCATGCCATGCCCGATGCCCTATACCCTGTGCCGCTGCCGCCTGATCCCCATCCTGATTGTCTTAATCTTCATCTCTATCCTTACGTGTCCCATCATCCCTCCTCCCCCTCCTCACCTAGCCCCTATCGCCTCTGGAGGTGGAGGAAGAGGAGGAGGAGGAGGAGGAGGAGGGGACGCCAACGCCCGGCCGCCGACGCCAGCCCCGGCGCCGCCCGCGCCAGCACCGACGCCAGCGCCGCCCGCGCCAGCACCGACCGCCAGCTCCTCCTCCTCCCCCTCCTGCTGCCCCTCCTCCCCCCCTCCTGCTGCTCCCCTCGTGCTGCTGCACGGATGCGTGGCCCCCGTGTCGGCTGCTCCTCCCCCTCCTGCTGCCCCTCCTCCTCCCCCTCCTGCTGCCCCCTCCTGCTGCTCCCCTCGTGTTTCGGCTCCCTTTCCCACCTTTTTCCCTCCGTCGCTTCCTGGTCGTCGTCCCCTCTTGTCGTATTCCCCTCACCTGCATCCTTCCTCCGCGTCTCGCCCTTTCGACTCGTTCGATGCGCATGTGCCTGCCAGCCGTTCCTTCATATCGCATATCGCCATCATCGTGTAAGTCTTATGTTCAAATCATGTTCTACGTGTTATATAGGCTAACCATGCGAGACCGAGTATGACTGGCGCCCATTACCATTAATTGGAACAGGGGAATTAACGGGAATTATCGGGAACGTCGTCAAGGGAACAAGGGAATTAACGGGATAAAAGGACATTATCGGGAAGAATATCCAGGAAATTCTCGGGAAAGAAAGTTAACCGACATGAGTTGCAACAGTTCGGGCGGGCTCAAGACATCGTCACGATCTGCTTTGAAAGAAATGAATCTTGGCACCGAAACGAGCAAACCGCTTGAGAAATCCTCACGATCTGTGCGGGAATGGGCGCGTGAAAGCACCCTAGCGGCTCCCCCATGAGAGTGCTGAAACCAGCGCCTCGCTTGAGACATTCTTTCAATCTGCTTCGAAGACAGACAGTGAGACTGGAAGGTTCACACCCTGAGGGACGCGTGCACTGCCTGCCAGCGAAACTGGGGATGGGCCTGGCATTGAGGATAGGCCCGTATACCCAAGTCGAGCGGACATCTCTTGCCCCCCTTAGTGGACAGCAAGAGCATCAACACTTGTCTCAGACTGGGTGCCTGCGGCTATATTCCGCCACTGCTTAGGAGAACATCCTACCAACAAAATCTGGCTCGTTTTCCCGCTCGCACTCAAAAGCTGGCACAAGCACATCGTAAATCAAAACGTCGTTGCGCAAACCAGGAGCACCGCGCATGCCGACCTGCAATAGGCAAACTCAAGCAATGAACCGTGGCCTGGACACCAAGTCGACAATGCAGCTGCATTGCATGCATGTGGATATCTCCTGGAGCCCGAACGGCCAACGATGCCCCCTACACACAACGCCGAGGGGGGACAGGAGGGAGGGTAGAGGAATAATGAAGCGGACAGCATGATTCCGGCACAAGCGGTGCATGGTTTCGACTCAGAGGCCACATGCGGGTGTGCCCAAGAGCCCGTTCAAAATGTCACGGAGCCAGTGCGGAGGAAGACACATTTGCAGCAGAAGCGGTGCTCATCTTCGATTCCGAGGCCAGTTGTGGACGTACCTCAAACACCGTTCAAAATGTCACGGAGACGGTGCGGAGTACGACGAGGAAGAGGAACGACGAAACACAAGCTTGAAACGGTGCGCCGGCCAACCTGCAATAGGCGAGCCGATCCGCGTCGACGGGTTCAGGGAAAGTGGCCGGATTAGCAGACTCATGCATCCCCTATGGTGGTCCATATGGCCAAACACCATACATCCACCAAAAGAGGAAGGGGGCAAGAGGAGGAGGAGGAGGAGGAGGAGGAGGAGGAGGAGGAGGAGGAGCAGGAGGAGCAGTAGGAGGAGGAGGAGGAGGAGGAGGAGGAGGAGGAGGAGGAGGAGGAACGAGAACGCGAGCTCCGTGAGTCGCCACGCGAGCCCCCGGCAGCTCGATGCCGAAGCGCGCCGCAGAGGCGCAGGCGAGCACAGGCCCTCGCCGTGGCGCGCGCCTGGCAGAGTTTCCGGAGCACGCCGGAGCGGCGTTGGTGCGCCCGGCGGGGGCCCGTAGAGCACCCCTTCCTCTTGGGAGGTGCGCAGAGAGCGCATGCCATCCAGAGAACCCCTATGCTTAAGTCGGGCCTGTCCCCCTACAGGGGTATTTCCGACGAGAAATTAAAAATATTCAAAAAATATTCCAAAATTTCAAAAAAAAAAAAAATGCGAAAAATAGTCCCCAGACAATTTTTGGATTATGTTTGGATTATTTTTGGGGTATTTTTAATTTTTCGTCGAAAATCCCCCTGTAGGAGGACAGGCCCGACTTAACCCAATGCAGCCTCCGAGGAGCTGCGCCGACTGAAGGTGGTGGGCACGAAGCGCTGCCAGCGATGCAGACGATATTCTCCCGCCTGTGCCACACGCACATCTTGCTCGTGCGCACCGCCTGCGGGGAGGCTGTTGTGTCGTCGTGGTGTGTCCGCTGTCCCCTCCTCGCCTCCCCCCCCGAAAAAAAAACTGCTCTGGAAGCAGACGAGCCCGGGCACCGAAACGGGCACGCCGCCCGAGACACCCTATCCCTGCAAGCTGGGCGCGTGCGGGCCCGTGAAAACACACCAGCGCCTCGCTGGAGACACTCTTGCAATCTGTTTCGAAGCCAAACGAAGCTGGGCACCGAAGCTGGCAAACCGCTTGAGACACCCACGCAATCTACGCGCGAAGGGGCCCGTGCAAACACCCTGGCGCATCCCCCTTGGGAGTGCTGCAACCATTGCCTCGCCTGAGACATCCTCGCACTCTGCGAGTCTAAATGTAATACACTCTGAGCGTAAGTAAATATGAGTATGAGTATGTGGGTGAGTGGGTCTAAGTGTGAGGGAGTGTGGGTACGAATGAGTCTGAGTATGGATGTGTCCGAATATAAGTAGGCCTCGGTCTGAGCGCGAGTGAGTCTGAATGCTCCGTTTTCCATCCTTTTTCGTCTTCGCTCTCCTCACATGCTCTTATTCCTTCTGCTGCTCCTCCTTCTCCTCCTCGACGAGTCCTCCTCGTTCTCAGAAGGACGAGGGGGATCCAGCGAGGAGGGGGGGAGAGGAGAAGGAAGTCGAGGAAAAGGGAGGAGGATGAGAAGGACGAGGAGGAAGGAGGAGTAGGAGCCCTCCTCCTCTGTACGCCTGCGCCCGCGGCCTCGATCGGGGCGCTCTGGCTCGTCGTCGTCCTCCTCCACACCCTCCTCCCTTTTCCCTCCCCCCTTACCCCTCCCTTCCTCCCCCGCCTCCCCCTTCATCACTTCTTTCTTCATCCTTGCCCGCATGAGGTGTTCAAGTGCATGGATTCGGACACGACCCCCCCCCCCCGGGCGAAGGTGCAATACGTGTCATACGTGACGATTCGGGCGACAAACCTGGTGCTTAGTACTGAATGCGAGCGGCGCCTCGGCAGACGGGCAGATAGTGTTGGTTGACGTGCACAGCGAGGCTGGTCGTCAAACACTTTGCCGAGTGCCAGGAACTACCTCTTTGGGGCGGGCGGGCGCTGCCCGCGTCGATTGATGTGGACCGAGGATTGTGACGATTAGGACGGCTCGTTCTACATCGGCCGATTATGGATAAATGCCGCAGGTGAGTTTACAGCTCAGGATCTTGACTTGCAAGACGGCGCACGACTTGCTGGTGTTAGGGATTGCGTGCTCGACGGTCTGAAGGCCGTTGGTGCTTAAGCTCGAGGTAATTTAAAGGTCCTGGCCGGGATCTCGTGAATTACTTCATCTGAGCTTCGGCGCTCCGGCGCCCCCGCCGATCTTCGGCCTTCCCCCGGGACGTTTTGCTGCGGCAGTCCTGTCCTGCTCTGTCCTCCGCCGACCTACCCCTCATCCCTTCTCGACCCCTGCTCCGAGACCCCTCCTTCCTCCCTGGCTCCTCGTCCTTCCTCCATTCTCATCGCCCTCCTTCTTGCTTCTCCTGCCCCCCCCCGTCTTTCTCGCCCTTCCTGCCTCCCCCCCACCCGTCCATCCTCCATCCGTCCCTCTCCTCCTGCCTTCCACCAGTTCTGCCCCCTCGTCCCTTCTCTGTGCTCCCTGTGTGCTTCCGCCCTCCCTCCTCGGACCCTCCTCCGCAGAGTTGTGCGCCTGCTCCCCCCCTCGGCCTCCTCGCTCCCTGGCCACAGCGCCGCCCCTGCCTCCGCATCCCCTGCTGGCTCTTGCCGACCATCGCTACTACCATCGGTGATCGCAGCATGATGTGTATATATGTAGTATAGAAATATCCCCATACGATCCGTGACCCCAGTATACCACGTATCACGCACATGTATACGGAGAGAGAGAGAGACAGAGGGACATATAGATACGCACCTACAGCTCAGTAGTATCATTCCTGGCCCACCTCCCTGGCCCCGCGGTCTCGGGGCGGGTCGGGAGGGCCGCAGTTGGCAGCGCGACGCGCGCTGGTGTGCGCCCGCCTCCCTCCACCGGGGGGCTGCAGGACTGTCTCTGTTCCTCCTCCTCCTCCTCCTCCTCCTCCCTCCACTGCTTCTCCTCCCCTCCGCCCACTCACACTCTTCGCATCCTCCCTCCCTTCTCTTCCTCTTTCATTATTCCTCCTGCCACTCCTCGTCCTCGTGCTCCTTTTCTTCCTCCTCTCCCCTGCGTGCCGCTCCTCCTTCTACTCCTTATCCTCCGCCCTCTGCCCCCCTGCCAGGTGTTGCGGGAGTACACCGGTCGCGTGGACGCCCTCGACAAGAAGACCCTGAAGAAGGAGGAGGACCGCTTGCATAGGCCCTGGCCCAGCCTGTGTCCGAGGGTCGACGGTGGCCCGCCATGGCGGCGCCTCCCCTCGCTGCAGATGCTGCCGCTGGGTCTGTTGCTGCCGCTACTGCTGCTGGTGCTGCTGCCGATGCCGCGTGCCGTGCTGCTGCTGCCCCCCGCCTCCTCCCATCTTTCGAACATCGCGTCGGACTTTTTGTTGGCTGTCGGTTTTCGGCCTCCGGGGGGCCCTTGCCGGGCCCCGGGATGGTCAAACAACCCTCTGGGATAGAAAAACAGTCCTTGGCAAGTTGTCGGGTCCATACTTCCGTGGCAAAATCCCGACGTCGGAGTTCTGGGCAATGCAATGTGTTATGGTGCAGCTGCTCAGGGAGGGAGGAAGGGAAGGAGGCAGAGGGGGAGGTGGCAGGCAAGGCGCGCTGGCGCCATATCGGACATCCTACCCCCTCCCTCCTATCGCTTCCCATTGTGATGATTTCTGTTTCTATCTGCTGACATGCCTCCTGACCTGGATCCCCCAAACGACCCCATTTTTGTGATGCGCGTTCCCAGAGCTCTGACGTCGTGATTTTGCCACAACATCGACCCCCGGGTGTCCGAACCCCTTTCCCAGGACCTCATCCCGAGTCGTTTTGTTGACGGACCCAGGGCCTGTTGAGGACCCCCAGAGGCCGAAAACGGCCAAAATCCGCCCGTTGTGGTTTTTTTTTCCCGACGTGGGGGATAAGCAGGAGGAAGAGGAGGAGGAGGAGGAGGAGGAGGAGGAGGACCAGTGCAAACTCAAGATTCATCCATGATGTTGCAATAAACCCTCCCTCCAAGCTCCTCCGTCATAGGCCCCATACAAGGGTTTCTTTACTAAAGGAAGTGCCCCGTTGGAAAACAACCGTTTGGAAATCCTGAACTGCGCCAGAACACCAGTCCTGGCATTTCCACGCAGCGAATCACATCTGCTGCTGCGTCTTGACGATCCTGAATCGTGCCAGAACACCAATTCTGGGATTTAAAACACCACGAATCAACGTGACCTTTGCGCCCTGACAGTCCGACATCGTGCCAAAACACCGTTTCTGGGATGTCATAATCTTCGAAGCTGTCGTAAACTCTTAGAAAGAATGTGCACGGTGCTTATGCGAGAGCCAACTGTTGAAAAGGAACTGCCCTCCATCCGTGAAACACTTGCATTTGTTATGGCGAATGTGCGCGGCGCTAAGGCGAGAGCAACACTTTGAAAACGACCCGCCCTCCATCTTTCAAACTCCTGCAATGTTGTTCAGGCGGATGTGCTCGGTGCTAAGGCGAGAGCCATATTTTGAAAGCGACCCGCCCTCCATCCGGGAAGCTGTTGCGAATTCTACGCTTCAGGATCATAAGTGGTGAGGAAGTCTCAGGCGAAACGCCGGGCCCGCCCTTCCGACTGGCCTCGGAGCGCGGCAGGGAGGAGTTACACTCGGAAGGAGATGGAGTTGCGGACCCCGCGCAGGAGGAGGAGAAGCAGAAGAGCGCCTCCAACGACTACGTCCCCGACTACATGATGGGCGGCATGCCCGGCATGATGGGCCCCGGGGGCATGGGCATGCTGGCGCTGACGGGCCCCGGGGTGGCCCGCGGCCCTCTCCCCCGCCTTTGTTTTGTTTCTCTCTCTCTCTCTCTCTTTCACGACTTCCTTCTCTCTCGCGAAGCGGTGAGGAGCCATCCGGGGGGAGGGACCGCGGGCGGGACGAGGGAAGGCGACCCTCCAGATCTCCGACGACCCGAAGGTTTCATTCCTGGCATTCTCCTCGATTCGCCCGGGGCCCGACCGATGTCAGGCCTCGACACCATCAACGTCAAGCCTGGAACAAAAAACCGGCCCCTGGCGGGGGGTTCGGGACCCCTGGGCCCACTGCCCAGGGGGGGCACCGGCGGGGGGGGCGGCGGGGACGGCGGGAGGGGGGAAGGAGACCCTGGAGGATCGAGGAGCCTGAGCAGCATGTAGTACATGGCTTTTCTGCCTCCAGAGGCCTCCAGAGAGCGCTGGGGAAAATGGGCGACGTCAGGGGCAGGCGCGATCTGGGACCGCACTGGAGGGGCCACGGGCGTTGGGCGACCATATCTTTTCGGTCTCGTGGCCCAGGGGAGTTCGGACAGTGCACGCCCATGAGAAGGACGCACGTCTTTCGGTAGGGTCGGGTCGGGCCTGTCCCCCCACAGGCGGATCTTGCACGGCAAACGAAAAATACACAACAACTGCCCCCCAAATGCTCCCAAATATGTAAAAAGTCGTCCCCAGACTGTTTTTATTCTGGGAGGGGGAATATTGGAGAGGCCTGACGGCCGGTGCCGCCGACCCTGATCGAAAGGGCTAGGAGTGGGGGGAGGAAGCAGAGGAGGAGGAGGAGGAGGAGGAGGAGGAGGAGGAGGAGGAGAGGAGGAGGGGAGAAGGAAGGAGGAGGCGGAGGCGGAGGAGGGAGGAGGAGGAGGAGGAGGAGGAGGAGGAGGAGGATATTCCCCCTGTGGAGGGACAGGCCCGGCGTCACCTTCGCGTGCCCTCGCGTCCCTGCCTGGGCGGCCCGTCCCTGGCCGTGTCCGCTGGCGCCAGACCCTCGGAGGGTACCCCCCTGGAGGAGGAGGAGGAGGAGGAGGAGGAGGAGGAGGAGGAGGAGGAGGAGGAGGAGGAGGAGGAGGGAGGAGGAGGAGGAGGAGGAGGAAGGAGGCGGAGGAGGAGGAGGGAGGAGGAGGAGGAGGAGGAGGAGGAGGCGGGCGACGTCCCTCGGCGGCGCGGCGCAGCGCTCCTTCGGCGGGGACCGGGGGCGCCTCGCGCGCCCCTTGGGATGCCGACAGCCCGCGTGCTGAAACATGCCGACTTCCGCGGCCGAGGCCCTCCGGGTCCTTCCTCGAAGGAGAACAAATTCTGTGTAAGCACAACCTTCCGCGGCCGAGGCCCTCCGGGTCCTTCCTCGAAGGAGAACAATGCTGTATAAACACAACCTTTTGGCGCTCCGCGCCGATTGCTTGGATCGGCGCCAGGCCCCCCCCTGGCGGCGCCTCTGGCGCCGCCCCTGGCGCGCTCCTCGCGCCAGGAGGGGGGGTCCAGCGCGAATCCAAGAAATCCGCCGCGGAGCGCCGACAGTTTCTGTTTATGTGTTTGTTCCTTCGTCTTTTCTTCTTCTTACCGCCCGTCCTTACCATAGGTTCGGACTGCGCCCCCTCCGGGAGCTGGAGCCTGACGAGAGCTTTGAAGCAGCGGGGCGCTGCTGCCTCTTGCGGGCCCAGGGCCCTGACTCCGGGCAGCACCAGCAGCGAAGCAGCATCGGCCTTCTTAGGGGGCCGCACGCGAACCCTACCCCTACCCCCCACGATTTCTGAGGGGGGAGGGTGGGGTTCACTTCGCTTGGGAGCTCCCGAACGCAGTGAACCCCACCCTCCCCCTCAGAAATCGTGGGGGGTAGGGGTAGGGTTCGCATGTGGCCCCCTACTTCTAGCAGGGGGGAGGGCGCGGGAGGCGCAGGCGGAGCGTGGGAGCGGTGAGCAGCAGGCCCATCAGAGAAGCAGCCGGCCCGCCTGCGAGCTCACTATACGCACCAAGCGACCCCAGCCTGACCCCCGAAGGCCCCAGGGGACCCCGCAAGTCTCTTCTCTTGGGAGGTGCACGGGTTCCATATCGTCTGCTCTCGATGTCCTGGAATGGAGGAGGAGGAGGAGGAGGAGGAGGAGGAGGAGGAGGAGGAGGAGGAGGAGGAAGAGGAGGAGGAGGAGGAGGAGGAGGAGGAGGAGGCCCAACGGCGACGTCGGGTTGGTGGGCGTGGTTTTGGAGGAGGAGGAGAGGAGGAGGAGGAGGAGAGGAGGAGGAGGAGCGGAGGAGGGGAGGTTTGGAGGAGGAGGAGGAGGAGGCGCGACGGCGACTTCGGGTTGGGTGGGCGTGGTTTGGCAGGTGGTCACGAGGCGGGCGCGCCGTGGGGCAGCGCCTCGCTCCGCGACGTCCCTTGAGAGGGGGGGAGCCCAGAACTGCGGGGGGCGCCCTGCGGATCTCGTGGCGAGGAGGAGGAGGAGGAGGAGGAGGAGGAGAAGGAGGAGGAGGAGGAGGAGGAGGAGGAGGAGGAGGACGCCGTGGCAGGGGGGCTTCCTGGAGGCCTTCCCGCCCTCAGAAGGCCATCCCAGACGCCGGGGCAGGGGGGCTTCCTGGAGGCCCTCCCGCCTTCAGAAGGCCCTCCCAGGAGCTTCGGGCCCCCTTCCGAGAGGCCCCCTGCCTCCGCAGGAGGCTGCACCTCCCCCCCCCCTCCCCCTCCCCGCCCCGCGCCGCCAGCCATGGCCGCCACTGGAGTGGGATGGTGGCGTCTGGAGTGGAGGAGCTGCGGTGCCCGCCCCCGGAGCACGGGGGGCGCACGCCAGATCCTCGGGCCTCCTCTCGGGCCGCCCCTCGCCGCTCCGCCGTGTGTCGCTCTGTTTGCTCTCTCTTGGAGGCCTGGGCATGGGCACCAACACCAACACAGGGGGGTGCCTCCACAGGAGGAAGGTGATCCTAGATCTCGGTGTTGGTGGTAATATTTCGATCACCTTGGACGCCAGAATATTACCACCATCACCGAGATCAGGATCTTCTTCCCGCAGTGGAGGCACACCGCCAATACTGGTGTTGGTGTCAATCTCTAAGCCTGCGACTCTCTCTCTCTCTCTCTGTTCCCTGGCCCCCATGTACAGGACCCGGTGGACCGCTTGACGGCGTCGACGCTCGCTTGCGTGGACACGCGAACTCCATGGTTCCGTCAGGCTCTCCATGGCGGTCGCGTGCTCACTGGGCGCCCCGGGGCGGGTACCCGAGCCACCCACGGTTCCGACGGGTTCTGCGAGTGCACGCGGTGCCAGCGGGGCCCCACCGACACAGGATCACCGCTCTACTGCCCGCGCCGTGGTCCCGAGCAGGTTCCACGTCGTTCGTGCGGCCGCATGGGCCCCCACCCGCTTTTCACGTTCTGTCGCTTTCGCTTCGGAGGGGGCCGAGGACTTCTGCATGGACCCTCGGCCAATGAAGACGTCCATAAACGAGGGTCCACATGCTCACGGGCACCTCCGTTACACCGAAGCCCGATACACCAGTCAACCAATTATTCATATTCCTCCATGGGGCCGCGAACGGGATTCATCCCCTGCTGTCTGCAAGCGCCTGTCAACGTCAGTAAACCATCACACTCTGGCATCAGATTCAGGAGGGGAAGAAACACACAGACACAATTAATCGTCGATCCCCAGGAAAATATGGGAAAATGTGGGAAGTGGTGGGGAAGACAAAAACTCAGAAAATATGGGAAAGTATGGGGAATCTTTTTATTTGTGTGTATTTATTTGTGTGTTTGTGGGCCTCTTCACCTATGCCAAACGCCACATCAGCACACCAAGGGTCGCCCAGCGTCGTCCGTGCCATGGCGTTCCGCCAGGCCTCCACGTCACTCACGTGGCGTCGCCGTGCCTCCCGTTCTCCGTGCACCAAGGGTCGCCCGGCTTCGTCCGTGCCAGGGTGCTCCGTCAGGCCCCTGTGTAACTCATGTGGCGCTGCCGTGTCTCCCAAAAGTACAAGGGAACATACACTGCCCACGCCACGGTCCCGTCAGGTTCCGTGTGTGTGTGTGTGTGCTTGCGCAGGTCATGCCCCCCCTTCCAACATATGGCCCCACCAACACGGAACCATCCCTATTGCCCGCGTCGTGGTCCCGAGTAGGTACCACGTCGCTCATGCAGCCGCACGTGTCCCCACCATCTTTCATGTTCTGCCGCTTACGCTTCAGAGGGGGCCGAGGACTCCTTTTAAATGAAGACGTCCAAAAACGAGGGCCCAAATCTACCTCCGCCCTCTCTGCACCGCAGCCCAAGACAGCAGTCAACCGATGATTCATCTCCGTGCCCGGCCCCAGTGGGCCCGACCCGCTCCCTGGAGGCAGCTTGTCCTGTTTGGCCGAGGGCCTACCCCTTAGGCGATGCTTAAGAAAACCCAAGTTTTCGGCCAGAGTCTCGATTATTCTTAATGTTTCAATGTAAATCCTAACATTTGAATAGACATTCTGGGTTTGATTGCAAATTCTGAGACTATGAATTTCTTAACCCATGATTTCTAAAGCATTTCGCAGGGTGTACCCCACCCCCCACCCCCCACCCCCCACACCTGGAAACACGCCCCTCACCCCGCGCCTGGACCTGTCCCCCCCCCCTGGCGTTCCCCGGGGCCCCCCCTCTCGTCCTCCTCGCCCTCGGATCTCCAGCGCGACGAGGTCCCTGCTCCCCTCGCGCTCCTCCGCGACCTCGGCCCATCGCGGGGCCCGTCGCCGGGCCCCCCGGCGGCGATGGGGCACGGATCGGGGGCGAGGAGCTGCCCCTCGGGCGGGGTCGAGACCTCGGGGGCCGCGCGTCGGCCGGCGGTCGCCGGCGGAAGGCCATCGCGGAGGTGGATGGACCTCCCACCCCGACACGTCGCTTAGTGGATTGGCCGTTTTCGGTTTGCGAGAGGGCGTTGCGGCCGGCATTGCTGCGGGTCCAGGTCCGTCGGCTTCGGTCCCAGGCCGTTTTCACCAAGGGGAGGTTGACTAAAGGGAGGGTTGTCCACCGCCGAGGCCAGAGGAAGTTGGCGAT